AACCCAAAATAAAATACATCGGAACTCTATAAACCTCCCAGAAAATTAGTACCTGGCACAACGTTAAGAAGTGATCAATTTAACAAAATAACATAATGGATTAACGACATAAACAGGATTAACATCAAATTTCATAACAGTCGATATGGATTAAGAAAATAGTTCTATTATATTACAAAAAGCATTTTAAATTTCACCCCTTTGAAGTGAAGTTTGATTCTGAAATACTTCAGATGTGGCGCACCAAGATATTTCTAAGGGGTAAAGATTCCAAACAATAACTCTAGGTTTTTTGCTGCCACTCCTGACATGTCAGTATTCACTTCTTTGTATAACAAGTCGTCCATCTGTTATAGAGGTTTCCCTCTAGTTTCAGCTTTGTTTCGACGCTGAAGAACTAAAGCAATCTTAGAAGAAGTGTTGCAAATTTTAAATATACACGGATGCTTTGATGCCTACAAACTTCTTTACAAAGCATTCACGACAAGCCTCCTTTTTACAGGAACTTCTCATAAAACTCACTATTACTAAGGATGAGGAACAGCCTACTCTTACCACTCACACAATCATACTATAATCTGTTTTCCATTTTTCCCCTTCAAATTTATTCAGGTCTTTGCCCACTGATCTTTATACTGTCTAAGCAGCTAAAAAATGAGCATCTATTAGGCAGTTCTCTTTAAGAGTATCAACTGTGAATTGGACTGAACAGAGCCTCCATCCCAATAACAAGAGCAACTAAAACACATGAAATAGAAAAAAAAAATACATAAGAAAATCCAAAAGCAGATGAACAAGAATAACCAAATAGCAGTACAGCATCATTTCCCACTTTTCATTCAAAACTCAACAACACTTGGCATCTCAAACACAATCAACCCACAAATAAGCCGACAGAAACCCAAAAAATCACATTACCTGAACCCAAACTCGTATAACAAACTATTCGAAGTTTCGCACTCTAAACCCCCGCATTCTCCACTCCGCTTCAGCTCTTTCAGGATCCTCACCCTCCACTCTACTAATCCTTTCACTGTCCTCCAAAACCAACCAACTCGGTGGTTTAACCGCTCTTAACCACTTCAAATCATCAACACTTTCCCCATTCAAATCCTCCTCTTCCGACCCAGCTTCCTTCAAATCCTCCTCAATCCCCTCATATCTCAAAAAATACTGCTCGAATCTCTCAGCTCCACAATCCTCAATTATCGGCCCACTCCTCACTCTCAAATAAAAACCACAACTTTTCGCATAATCTGATGCGATGCTAACACAAACAAGCAGTTCTCTACTTCCTCTATCAAAATTGAACCAATCACAGGTCCCATGTAAACCCTACAATTCCTCAATCTGTTAACAAACATTGCGTTAACGCAGCCAATCAATCTCACTTCACATGAATTCAAATCCGACAGCGTAAATTCTCCAAACTCTTTAAAATTCTTGAAATTTTTTGTTAGAGTTTGATTTTCTTGCTTTCCGATTCCTGGGGAACCACGAAGTGAAAGAGGAATTTGATGGATTTGGATTTTCGGGATTTGGTGGGATTGGAATTGAATTTGGTTTAGTTGTGGATTTGTTTTTGAAGGAGAATTTCTTCTTAGTGACAAGTTGGGAATTCAATTTATCGAGAGATTGCTTTAAGTTTTCGATGGATTTAAGAGAGGAGGGGATTTCACAAGGGAGAAAGTAGGAGCTTTAAGCGACGAGATTTTCGAGGGTGGAGATGTTGGCGATATGAAATTTTAAGCGAGCAGGATCTGTTGTGCTGGGTGAGTTGGGATTCGATTGAGCTTTTGGAGTCGGTGAATGTGGAGAGGAAGGAGGCGGTGGATGCAGTTTTTTGTCGGGATTGATGGCTGTTGGACAGGCGATCTAGCATTGCTTGGTGCTTTTTTTTGGAGTACATGATCCATGGGACTGGTTGGATTCGGAGTTGAGAGATCTGATGGCGGCGGCGATTCTTCTTCCATGGTTGTTCGTGGTGGTTGGAGGTGGATAAGGGAATGACACTGCGCGGGATGTATGAAAAAAAAATGGTGGTTGGAGGTGGATAAGGGAATGACACAGCGCGGGAGGTACGAAAAAAAAAAATGAAAGAATATGAAACTGCAGAGTTTAGGAATAAAACAATATCATGAGGAATTTTATTTTCTTGTTGCTCAATGGTAACATTCAAGCAAGCTATTAGACTAATCAGTACTTTGCTAATGAAGAAAAGGCCAAGTACAAGGCAGAGGGAAGAATAAAGGGACCGGGAGGAAAAATTACGCAATCAGTGAAGGAGGATGCTGCTGCTCCTCCTATGTCATGAAATTACATCATATTCATTGAGGAATAATACAATAACAATTGGCTCAAGCAGATTTTTCAGCTTCTGCAGCTGCCTCTTCCTCTTGCAATTTCTTCAAGGATGGAGGTGGTCTAACAACAATGCTTCTCTTCCATTGCCTGTCCAGCTTTCTTGACAGCCTCTTCCCAACCCCCTCCTCAATCTCTCTTTCCCGCTTAACAGTAAGCATGCGAGCAATCTGCAATCAGTAAAACACACTCAGTCAATACTGAATTAAGAGGGAGGGTACTACTTTTAGCCTTGAAGCATCGGCAGCGGCAGTGAGCTTCACTGCAAAAAGGCACATCATTCTTTGCAGAAAAAGGTTCAGAATGCTAAATGAACTTCAGTATTTTAATAAAATATGTGATGAACACACAGAAAACGCATGACAGTGAAAATGTGGAAAATGGGAACCTACAAAATACTTGAACACAGCAGCCATTTCACGACATCTTAGTTACAAGTAAAGGGGGCATCTAGTCATATCCCCATCTTACTTGACTACACAAACTAGTACTTAATAAGGTGCACATGACATATCTCCAGCCACAGGAAGAAAAAACAAATCTTTGAGCAATTTCAGAAGGATGCGATTATATCTCCAGCAAATTAGGCTGCCGAATATATGTCAGCAAGCAAATGATTTAGATGGCATTTATTGTTTGCCATGGTGTCATGACCATTAAATGTACAGCTCCAACTTTATGTTATATAGTAAATACACAAGACTACCCATCAAAAACCAATGAGTTGAAATACACTCTTAGAAGCATCATTTTGCCTTTGGCCAGTCCTCGTACTCCCCCGCCCAGTTACTCCTTGGAGCATAATTAAGTTATCGCAGCCTTATCCCAGACATTTGCTGACAGATAGACCCATTTCACCTTTCTGCACTAGTCAGGGATATACCATATGGGTCATTTATATTTCAGTAGGCATGCAACCAATGACACTCGGCAGAAGAATAGCTACACGAATTGCAGAGAGTCATTTTCACTCCATACTGTATTGTAGCATGTCATGGCCTTAAACTATTTCTTAAACTGTATGCCCCAGTCCCATAATACATCCAGAGCCTCATTGTATTCAACTTCATGCGATGGACATGAAATAAATGGTACGGTAAGTTTCTGCCTTTCAGTCTGACATATATTGCATGGACTTATGCTAGTGACCATTTGGATATCCATCCAAGTGCCAGACTGTCAACCTCTAGAACCATTCTCCCTTTTAAAGAGTACTTGTAAAATACACAGGTAGTTTAAGGTGACCTGCAGAAAATTTGACTCCTTACCTTGATAATGCATTCGAATATTACTATTCTCATTGTTTCAAAGAAGATCCCTCACTACTAGATGGCAGACCGGGCAAGAATAACAACATTTACATTAGCATTTTTTGAGGTTGCAACCAAGGTAACAATATACTACCAAATCCAGAAATACAGCAACCCCAAAGAATTAAAACAAAAAATGGAAGATAATGGAACGAAATGAAACCACACTTTCCAACTTAATCATTTACATAAGAATTCCATTGCAAGATAAATTACTAACGAGGACTTAGAAAGCCATGATATTAGGTCATACATACAAGCAGCAAATGGTTTAAAGAAAGTATGCCTGGTTATCCAACAGAAAAAAGGAAAGTGTGCGAGGAAAACAACAAGTGCTCATGTTTCACGCATCTACAAAAACTTTATGTTTATTTATTTATTTATCAAATATAGAAGGAAATGGTGGGAAGGTGTTATGAAAAACGAAAGGCACAAATTCCACATTGTTAATGGAATTACTCTCATTCATAATGCTGGGCCAAGAACATGAGCAATTTAAATAAAGTTGATGATGTCCAAATTGGAAATATGCTTCGATGATTGCTCCAACTAAAATTATTCTGCTGGTTACCCTTGACATGGTAACTAGACAGCCAAAACTCACCATAGAAGTCACACCCAAGCCATCAATTGACATTTCTACAGAATAAAGATTGAAGCATAGAAGCATGCACCTCGAAAACCAAGCCTCCACCTCTATTATAAATCCCTTACTTCCCTTTTTCAGAAAATTTTGTGTTTGTTAAATAGCAAGTATCCAAAAATCAGTTCCCGCAGAAACTATTTCAGACATAACACTTACAAATTACAACCACGCAATACAGTGATGTATTCTAGTCCTTCCACAAAGAAAAACCTAAAATGTCCCAAAAAAATTGCATTCCCTTCTGCTTAAGCATTCTTGTTGCCATTAGCGATTCAGATACCCAAGACACCCTTTCCAATTAATTGACCAAACAAATTTGAACTAAAGAGCAATGGAAAAAACATATTAAACAATGAGAAGTTGGGAGTTGTATAAAAGAAAAGCAGGAGCCTCATATTTTACTTGTTTACCAGAACTTCTGAGCTTTGTCATCTATTAAAATATAGAAAAACAAGCAAGGAAGGTCTACACAAAAATAAATAAACGGAACCCATTCCACACTTTCATGGCTCCACAGTAAGGTGTATCAAAATTCCCCTTTCACAAATGGGGAGGGAGCCATAAACACCGGAAAGTAGAAATGAAGTTATTTGATTCGATTATATGATCTCATTGATTACTCAACCATTGTTTAGGGCTTAAAACTCAAGTTGTACAACTAAATAACAGGGCTTCACATCAAAAGTCAAGAACCTCTCATATCAATCTCCTACTAGTAATTAAATTGCAACGAGCATCCAAAAACACTACAGTCCTAGCTAATCATGATGCAATGCGGCCAGGGAGCCTACTCCCCCCACAATATCCAAAACAACTCAGAATTCCCATTTCGCCCCCCCTAAGCACACTTGTTGCCATCATTATTTCCAATTCACTCCGGCCTCATAAAACAAGCAACTAAGAAGCCAACATAGTAATTAAAAGAAACAAAATTTCAAGCGTTCCATGGAAATTTAAAGGCAAACCAGAAGAGATTATTTCATAATTTGAACTAACAAGCAAGAAGAAAGATATAAAACAATGGATAAGGGAGAAAGCGAGATACCCTTTTGCGCATACGGCGAAACTCACTAGACTTGAACTCATTACGTGTAGATTTCTGAAGACGAAGCATCAAGAGTTCACCTTTAAGATCAACAACCTCTTCATTAATTTCCTCAGTTGTCTTGGCCCTTATTTCCTTCAGTTCTTCTTCTTTCTTAGCCATCATTATTACAGAAGACCGTGTCATTTTGATGGAGGGTAGGAGAACTGAAACGGGACATTTTTGGCGGATTTGGATGCCGGAGAAGCTTGATTTTGGGATTATAGATAAGGGCTTTGGGGGGAAAGTAAGTGCGGGAAGGCTCAGCATTGCTCTGTGCTTTGGGTTCGCTTGTGAGACTCTGTCCTTGCTCGAGGGCTTCAACTTCCAGGGTATAGTAGATAAGGCGTTTTCTTTGGCAAGTTAGTCACTCGATTATACAAACATTTTCAGTTTAGAACTAAAATGATTTTTATTTTCTAATTAGATTCCAAGAAGTTCAAACAATTTCAATCAAATCCCTCCATGGGTGTATATCAATTATCAAATAACTTTTCATCTAAATTTCACGTGTTAAACGCTTAAATGAATCCCCAGCTACACCGTGTTTCTAGTCGAGTGTTTGCTGTATTATTTTATACTGCTCTTATGAGAAGCTATATTCTTGTAAGATTTTAAATTAATTTTAATATTTAAAAAAATATGCATTATGAATATATTTTTGGATATTATAATTTTTTTAAAACAAGAAATAGAAAGATGATGGTTTATATCTAATAAAATAAGTTAAATTATATAAACTAACCAATTAAAAAAGAAGTTGTTAACATTGTTTGAATACTAGTGCGGGAAGTTCATTTTTGTATTAAAAATAATATATGCATCTAAAGACTTGGTCTAGCGGTGGCAGGAGTCTCGCTCCTTCCACTGCCATAGGTTTGAGCTCTGGAGTTACATGTCTGTCAGCCCCGTGCTACCTTACCTGCTTGCTGGGTTTGCAGGGTATTCAGTAGGCCGTGGGGATTAATCGTGGTGCGCGCAAGCTGACTCGGACACCCCACATATATAAAAAAACAAAAAACAAAAAAAAATAATATATATATATATGAATATTCTACCATGTCCGTCCTTTTATAAAATATATGTTTGTTGTGCTCGGTATCATGAATTTTTTTAATTGAAAAAACAAAAGGATGTTAATTTATATCTAATAAAATAAATTAAAAATATATATTAATTGAAAAATAAAAAATTTCTTAGGCTACTTGAATATTAAACCAGAAAACTAATTTTCCTATTAAAAATAAATACACGTGTAAATATTTTATTCTGACTGTTTTTTTATTTGATACATTTTTTTTATTATTTTATTTTAGAGGTTAGTTTTGGTTGTTAAAAATAAATAATTTTTTGTTTTTATAAATGTATCATGAAAATACATTTTATTGATTTCTCAGCTAATGAAAATCACATGTCACTAGTCTCCTCCATCATCACTAAATTTAACAATTTTACCAATAAAAATCTATTTTAATATTTACATTAACAGTTTATTTTATTAATAATTAATTTACCAATAAGATCATGAACAGAAAATATTCATTAAAAAAACATTCATCAATAATTTTTAGTCTATTAATGAATCTGTTATTCATAAATTTACCGATAGTTTTATAAACAAAACATGACTCTAAAAAAATATTACTCTTTTTATTTTATTAGTAATTCTCTTGGTACAATTTAGTATATCACCAACAAAAAAACTGTATGCAATTCCACTAGTAAAATTATATATTATTGCAGAATTGTTATTGATAATTTTGTTGATGAGCTAATAGTTATAGTGACATTTATAATAATTCCTTTC